ATAATAAGTTCGTATTTTTATAATGACAGATATGATCTAGGAAAAGGTAAAGGACATTGGTAATATAGATATCAACACTGATGTCACTTTTTTGCAAGCAGCACCATTCTAATAATTTAATCTCACTTTGAGCCAACTAAATATATTATCGATAGTCACTGCATGTCTTAAAGAGGACCTGTAATATGAAAACTGTGCCCAAAACAGGCAAGTGAATTTTGCCCGCAGCAACACATTAAACTTTCTATATATTTCCTATGAGATAGAAAATAATCACTGTTTGAAAATATACTGTAAGATGTGAAGATCAATGGAAAAGCATTACCTCTTTGTTCATGGTCTAAAAAATTCTGCTTAACCCCATAAGGACCCTTTTGCTGGCAAGGCCTTCTTTTCATTTTTTGCAATGCTATGCATGTTATAATCCCCATTTTGGGCCCGGAAATTACTTTGCACCCCCATTTTGAAAGCCAAGACCCTGTAGAATAAAAATTGAGGCAGTCGCAGATTTGTATGTTGCACAATATTATAAAATTAGGTTACTTCGAGTAAATAGATACCCAACATGCCCAGGTTAAAAAATTGTGTGCGTCTGTGAAACTGCGACAAAAGTCAATACCCCAAAAAGTCCATAGACTACGCATACACGTCATCAGTTTAGAGATATGCATATATATTGGCTCTAGAATGATTGCTCTCACTCTGGCATGCACAGCGATACCCAACATGTGTAGAGCAAAAGTCGTTTTCTGAAGAAAGAAGGCGCACCCGATGCATGTTTACGTGAATACACGCGCTTGCAGGGATGGGTCATTAATTAATGCCTCAATACTGAGACATTAATGAATGACTGTTAAATGCTGAGAATCAGCAAATACCGGCATTACAAAGCCTGATATAACTCGTCACGTACAGTGTACGTGGCCAGTCATATAGGCACAAAGTGACAGGACGTAGGGGTTAAAACACTTTTAAAATAATTTTTCCATTTATTTTATTGATTATCTTTTAGAACTTTTTTTAAATTTAATTACTATTACGTGGGGGGCTTGATAGCATATTGGTGGTGACAGGTCCTCTTTAAGGCGAGGTCCAAAAGACCCCTAGTGTCACCTTTGCCCTTTAAATAAGCATTTGAAGTGCACAACGCACTTTAATAGCTTATTGGCCGGCTTCAGGAGAGGAGCAATGACAGCTCAGGGAAGTCCGATAGAGCGGGGAGGAGATCGGTGAATGGAAGTTCGCCCAGCTTCCCGCCGGCACCCGACATGCTGGTCCCGGGCCCGCAGGAGGGAAACACGGCGGGGGTGTCCAGAGGGATGGGCATTGTACCAGCCCGTTGAAGCCATCTGGCAGCAGCATAGTCCGGTAAAGCGATTCTGGTGCTGCTGAGTTATTGCCAGTGACAGGATCACTATTGTGACATGGATCTAATGTCGGTATAACAGTGACAATCATCTGGATCAATCCATTTTGACAGATGGATCTCTTTCCTAATGTCAGGTAGGAGGTGTATGCAGAGGCCTTAAAGTGCCTAAAGGTACTTAAACATTATCGATCATCTCACGTCGTCCATAAGTTAAAGTTTATGGGAATCTCTGTGGTTAACTTATCCACTTGATGATTCATAAAATCAGTGTTTACTTTCATTCTGACCATGGATTCAATGAACAAAAACTAAGACACGTGATTAAAATGATTATTTACTCTGTGAACAATATCATCACTCGAGTCTGTTATGCTTCATCACGTACACATCAGTCAGTGCACACATCAACTGCGCTTTTGTGGTTTTTGTCTAGTGAGGTTTGTCTATCATCTATAAACCCTAAATCTTGTTGTGGTTTATTTTAAATGGGTAATGCCAATCAAGACTGTAATGAAACAAAGACAGCGAGCATACAAGACTATGCTCCTGTAGATGTGTGCTTTACTACAACTTTGACTTGGTCTCTTAGACTTTTATTATTCAGATAAATAGGTTTTCCGTAATGTATATGTTATAACAATGTGCCTACATCAATGCTTACAACTGCTGCTTATTATTATTTTTATACTCTGTGCTTATTGTGAGCTACTATAAAGTTAATCTGAAAACATTATTTAATACCATCTTCACATGTAATGTTCTTGCTGTGCCATATTTTTTAGATAATTTAAACACAAGTTTGTAGGTTCATGCTAGCAGCTATCTATACTGTATATTAGTCAGTGACTATCTTCTAATCTAATGACTATCTAATCTAATGACCATCTTCATTGAAGGACTACCAAGAGGAAAATTTAATTACAACAAATGTCACAAAAAGAAACAGAAAAGCACTATCACGTGTTAGTTAAAGCAACTTTATCATTAAAATCAATACTGTGAATTAATATGCCCAGCAGACTGATCGCGACTTTGGTGACAAGAAAGCACCCACCTGAAGATATCATAGAATCCAACACTTCTGGGGGTGTCAGATTCCTGTTCCCCTGCCACCCTCAGTGGATTGATCTGCTGGTTTCTATATCACTACTGTATCCTGTGGTGGCGTAGGGGTCAGCAGGAGGAATCACAGCATGTACCAGGGGACTGCCAGATTTTCCTCACTACATTAGTCATCAATGGTGTGAGTTTTCAATAGGGATGCACCGATACCGGTATTTTGGTATCGAGTACCGATATTTTTTTTTCCGGTACTCGATGATACCGAAAGTCCCATTCAGTAAGCAAGGCGGCGTGTAATGACTCGCCACCTGGCTTCCTGATTAGCCGGGCAGCGTGTAAAGACTCGCCACCCGGCTTCCCGAATAGCAGAGAAGCCGTCCCCATGCTTCTCGTCATTAGGTGACGAGAATGCATGGAGCCCATTTTCTGGCCAATCAGGAAGCCAGGCGCTGTGTAATGACGTGGCGCCCGGCTTTGATTGGCAGATACTATATATGTAAGGTAAGGAGGTCTTGGTATAGTGTCCCATGCCAGCTCTAAGTATTGAGAAGAGTATATTTTACTCTTCCAATACTTCTCCTTTAAGAAAGTAATAGAAAGGTTGTGTTCCTCCTCTTAGTTCCCAGTCGTGTGTGTAAAGTGATATTCATTGTTCTTTAACAGTAGAGTTGTTTCCTGGTGCTCTTATGTCAAGCTAACCTTTGTCTGCAAGAGGTAAATATGAAATATGAGTATGTAATATGTCACATGCGCCTGAATGAAAAGATAAAACAAACACGCATGTTATTTTATAGTAGTGAACAAATAAGTGAACAAAATATATGAAAAAAACACTGAACGTTCCCTTCAAGGTTTTACTATACAATGAGTTGCTATCTCTCAATGGAATAACTGAGGATTACGGGATAAAAAAGGCACTGTTCCATGTAGCTCTGTGATAATACAGAATCCAACGCTAAGTCCACTCATACTTGATTGTTCACTGGTGGGGAGATCTATACTTAGAGATCCTAGCTATGATCCTCCCTTGATCATGAGAATAATTTCTTGTTCAGCATTATAATAAGAATTTTAGTCTGTACTGCCCCTGATGTTTTGCTCTAACCACCATTCCCTATGGGAAATGCAGCAGGGGAATTATGTCACCATTTCTTAATAAAATGTTAAACAAGGTAATTTAATGCCACAGTAGAGAAACAGAACTGGAGTTACCTTTCTCTGTAGAGTGACCAAAAAATTGGCTTTGCCATAAATGAGCAGAAGTCTCTCCAAGAATGACAGGAGGGGTGACCTCTGGTCTTTCTCAAAAGCATTACAATACTCTGATCAACTTAAAAGAGAACTATGGCGTAACCTTTTTGTCCCATAGTTCTCTTTAGGGTCACGGGAGGACATATACTCATGTCCTCCCGTGACTCAAAGCTCAGTATATAGCGAGCTATTGCCCGCTATATATGGAGAGCGCCGCAGCCGGGACAGATCCCGACAATATTGTAGAGATCCACCCAGCTGGCTGATTGACAGCGGGCTCTGCCTATCTAGAGGCAGAGCCAGCTATGCCCACCCTCTCCCCCTGCCATTACTTCAATCAACGCTGACAGTCTGACAGTCACCACTCTCTGCAGGGAGATGATCGGGAAGTGAGTGAGAGACGATATGCGTTTGCGCACTTCCCAATCTATACAGTCGACGTGTGACAGTTTCAATGTCATACGCCGGCTCTAACTACGAGGATGAGTGTAAATCACTCACCTCATAGTTCTCCTTTAACCAACAAGAGGATGCAGTTGAGTCTTTCCTTTTTTCTTATTAAGACTTCACAGAATGCACAAAAAATGTACAGCTAATTTGCAAATCTTTGTGTGTGTTATAGAGGACTTCCACCAGACAGAAGCACACAATATTGTCTTCTAAAAGTACCCTATATGGTCAGATTCTATCCCAAAAATGTTATTAAACAAATTGAGGTAACGATTGCATTCATAACCATTTTTAGACTGCTGATTACATTTGCATCAGTGGTTTGCTTTGAGCGGACTTACCATATGGGTTATCAATACATAAGCACATATTGTCTAAAATGGCAAACAAATGGCCAATTTCTTTGGAGAAACATCATATGTTGCCCATGGACTCAGAACATGGTGGAAAATGTAAACTTACCTCTCAACCTGGAAGTCCATTAGCCAAATCACCAAGTCAATGCTTCTTGGGAACAATTTGACAGCCAGAGAAGTGTGAGGATATCTGACAGTGACTCACTAAGGTTGTACATTTAAAATTTAGCAATAGAAGCTCACTCAATTGCATGCTGGCAGGTTCTCTTTAACGCAGAACTTTATTGGCTATATTTACTGATGGGCAAACCTAATATATGGATCTGATCATATATTTATTCATGAGCAAAGTTGATATATGAATCAGATTAGCCCAAACGTCAGCGCAAGGTGGGAACAAGTTAAGCATTTGTACAATAGGTGTATACAATGAGTCCTGGAAATGTTGTTTCTTGTGGCTCTGCAATGCAGATACAGGATGCAACCTATACAACTTGAAACATACATCTTACCTCTGTAATGATGAAGAAATCATCACCAGGATCTCCCTGAACAACAATTTTTTCTCCATCCTCAAATTGGACAGGTTCTAAAGCATCTGCCACCGTCAGGCGTTCCCATTTGTCCAGTGATTCTGCACAGGGAAATAATAAATATTTAAATGTCGGACAGAGTATTACATGACAGGAATCGAACTTATAAAAGGACCTGTTCTCAGCACTGCAGCATAGGGGTCCTAAAGCTCTATTCCACATAAAACATCTATAATAAGATACAGTAAAGTTCCCTGTTTCACAGTACTGCCACTGTAATAATGTTCATATACAGTATGTAACTTCTTATCATATCATGTTAAACTTTCAATCAAAAAGATTTGGTACATAAAAGAATCAAATAATAAGTGAAGGTACTGCATGGCAATCCATGACCACATTTTAGTAAGGATGCATGAAAAGAAAGGATTCTTCTTTAAGCAAACTAAGTGGTTCAGTAGTTACTACCAAATAGTATTTTTTTTTTGCGATATATGCTGCCAAACTTTCCTAATGATGACATTATCCTGCGCCACATATTACATAACATTAATGTTAAAGAACACCTATTGTTTAAGAATCTAAAATACAGTGGCAAATGCCTTCCTTCCCCCAGCTTTAGTACATACTGTTTCCTAAAAGATTATAGAAGTGTCTTTAAAGTGTCACTAAAGCCCATATATAGTACACTCCATATAGTGGGCTGAACTGAAGAGCATTAGATTTGTCAGCCATAAAAGCGCAAATATATCTTTAGCTAAAGATCCAAAAGAAATACTATTTTTATGAATAGACATCCATAGAATTCCCAGCATCACTGTCAGTTTGGGTGATTGGCACTGCTTATTTTGTCACTTACAAATGCTTGTTCTTTCTTTCAATTAACATTCACAATGCTCAGTTACTGCAAGCAGTACTCAACTGTTGTACTGCTTCAAAATGAACAACCTTACACTCAAGGCATCTCAGGTAGTCTTCAGCATGTTGGAAATGCAACAGCATATACTGTAACTATGTATTTTGAGCTGTAGATGGCGCTGTAGTGTAATGCTAGTCTGTATGTTCATGCTTATCTATGATATATACAGGAAGTTCTCTCTGTATGCTGTATTTTGATGTAATGTTTTCCTAAGCAAGTAAAAATTCAGCATTCCTCAAGATCTCAGTGCTTCACCTAAACACATAACCAACGCAACAATCAATCAAATTTAAACCTACAATGCAAAATAACAATTGGAGAACAAAACGGTAAGCATGATTGGCTGCTGTTGGGCAGTATAGACTGTATAAGACAGTTCTTTCCTGATAATTTGATAAATAGGTCCATCTGTTTTCTCTGACAGTACTCTGCCTCTGATAGATATATTTCATGTGAGCTTGTTCCTGGGAAATTGCACCAGAATAACAGCCCCTGGCACACAGTGACCCTTCTTGGAACCAAACCATTTTCTCTACATGACAATCAATGCAAGTTGCCACACTTAATCCAATTAAGTAAGGAGTTTCCCTTTTCAATAGTGCAGCTGTTTAAAAGGGAAAGTTTAATGGAAATTATCACCTTTAACTTGTTTTGCTAATTACAACACTTTTAACAGTATAAGATGACTTGGGAATGGGCATTAACACGTTCCCATAACACGGCTCCATGATACAACACAAATCAAGGGATCTGAAACCGCATATGTTCTGCTTCAGGACAGTTGGCATCTGCAGTTTCCATAACTCTCTCCAAAACTCTCTGTACCATTTCATAGTGATATACATGAAGTACTGTATCTTCTAATATAAATTCTTTGAAGAGTTCTGTCCAGGCTGAAAACTTGCAAAGTGCATGTACAGAGGTTACTGGATTATGAGCTGAATCCTAGCAACCTTATTTTTTATAGAGTGTATGTCATTCCATATATAATCATAACACTCACTCTGATTCTACCGATTGACATAGGATGACACTTGTGTCCACCCTGGACCCTTTTAGAAGGCTGCTCACTGTGAGGGGGAACAGTTAATTAGACAGTTGATCAATACAGTTCCCTTCCGGTAGCAGGCGTCAAGTTGCCGCCCCTGTCCTTCTATCATATACATTTGTAAGCCCTCTTCAGAGAGCTGGTCTAAGTGCAGTTGAATTATACATTTGGGAATAACTGTCTGCTTTAGTCTATAGATAGCTTTACATAGGAAAATGGACTATGATGGGCACAAGGAGGAAGACAGAAACAGGCAGATAGGAGTCTGAGTATAATTTGGGCCCAGCAATGTTCACCTCTAACCAAACCCTACTTACTTTCAGTCATATAAACAAGTTAAAGTAGGTGGCACCCATAGTGGTAGATGGTACCTGTATTGATGGTGGGTGCTGCTTATTGTAACCTACACATCTATAAGGTTGGAGATTTCAACACTAAACAGCCAAATCTTCACTGCTGCAAGGGAGATTGGCCAACATCCACTCTTCAATGCACAGCCTGGTTTCCTGAACTTTGTCTCACAACAACATAATCAAAAAGCATAACCTGGTCCACTTCCCATGCTTGCAACACAGGTAGGTTTATTCAAATGAGTAAGAGGTACTCACATGTGGGCATCAAGACCCACCTAAATGTGTTTTGCATGCTGGGATGCTTACTCAAAGTTGAACCTTATGAATAATCACCAAGTATGTGAAGCGCGTCCTTACCCACAATGCTGAAAGTTTTGTGTGAGCACCCAGCATGTGATACATGTTTAGGTGGGCCTTGATTCCTGTATGTGAGGACCTCTTGCTCATTTGAATAAATCTACCAACCATGCAAGCTTGCAAAGTGGACCAGGTTATGCTATTTGATTGTAAAGGGTTGGAGAGTTGGTGGAGACCCATACAAAAATATAAGCACAGAAGGTCTATAACAAGGCTTCTCTGCATATAATGTGTGCATATAGGCAACTTTACCAGCCATTTCCCTTTTTCAGAATAACAGACTTCTTAAACAAAACTTCTGAAAGAACTGTTTGTGTTATCCATAGCAATCAATCTATTTCTCCCTTATAGTATATGTCCACACTTGCCACTAAACATTGAAGAAAAGCTGACTAGTTGCTCAGGGAAACGTAAACAATTCTTCTTTTAGACAATACTGTTACACGGGATCAACATCCTATTCAAAACTGGATCCTTATGTACTCTAGGAAAAGCGAAACAACTATTTTTGGTTTAACCACATGCTATCCTATCTCATCACGAATGGTGAAAAATAAAAACAGACTGGTTGAAAACTGTAAAGGGAGGTAAAAATACATCAAGAATTAGGAAAAACATGTTGCTTTTGGCGAACATCCTTCTCCAGCTTCTCTATATTAAAAGTATAAGACGAGTTCAAGTTTAAAGTGACGTAGATTATAAAAAATCAGACGTAAACTCTCAACAAATTGGCAAAACTGCATCAAATTTTTTTTTTACTGGACTATATTTATTAGTGTGAAAATATGGGACAAATTAGAGGAGCCACCTTGAAGATGATTAGAAGTAGGCTTAATTGTCTAAATTGATCTTTTCTCTGTGAAATATGGATGCTGATCTCATATAGACAGGTGCCTATTTGTTGGAACAGGTCAAACATAGGTTTCAAGATAGTTTCAGGCTTACAACTTCATCTAATGAGCACAAATGTAAATGCAGGCACTCAGAACTGGAGTATCCAGTAATCATATAGCTTTAGCAGTCCCGAAACTTAAAGCACTGTCCTACGCAAATAACTTCTTCTAGATAGGTGCTACATAGCCCGCCAAACTACTAGTCCTTCAAAGGTGGAAGGCCACCCTAAACAATTTTAAGATGAAGATGGCTGGGGTGGCAAGCTCCAACCTCATAGATAGAGTCAGTATTCATGTAACAGAGAGTGCTAAGTTTCAGAGGTCATTATAGAAGATTATGGATGATTTGTGTAGACACCTATTGGTTCCTGCATTTATATGTTGGTGCAAGTTTACGTGTTACAGATCAGCACAGATTTACTTTCAGGTGAAGCTAAGAGAATAAGTGAAGTAACCAGTCAGAAATCTTCTACTACTTTATACTGCAGAAAGTTGACCTATGAACGGACATCCAGAGTATACATCAGAGCACTGCTCTTTCATTACAATACGAATGCGGTCTATTGCTGGCCAAAAATAGCCATGCCTTGGCTTTAAAACATGTTGGTTCATTATACAAAGATGTATCCATGTGTACACATAAAAGGTTAACGTAAAGGGTAAGGTAAAGGACAGGGGAGTTTCTCAATGGTTCTGATGTATGATCTGCAAGACTTTGTGACAAAATTCTGGCAAATAAAGATATAGAGAAATTAAATTAACAAAAAAACTCAACCTTAAAAGGCAGTAAAAAAATCCTCTCAACCGTAGAGAAAAGTGAAGTCATCAATTTGGCTATGCTGTCTGGATCACAAGACTGGCTGAACACAATTTTAAATACTTTAGCAGGTAAAACAGTTTATATGTATTTCAACTGTGTAGTAAGTGGTCAATTTGTTTTGTATTCAGCTTCATCAGCAGTCTGAAGACAGCATAGTTGGTCTTATTTATTAAACTATTTGAAACTGTCCTATAGCAACCACCTACACTCACACCACATCAGAAAAAAAGAACCAAAGAATCTGGTTGGTTGCTCTGGGGCAACACAGCTCTTATTTCAGACACTTTGAAAAATGAGGCTTGAGTAAGCTGGGAGCTGTAATGCAACAGCTGCCCGAGTCTGATGTGCATCCAGTTTTAAAATAATACATATACTTTCCATAAATAGTTTATTAAACTGGGGCCAATTGCTTTAAATCTCACTGCACTCAGAAAATAAAATAGGACACATGGCAGGAGGTTTTAACATCCGCCGTGCACTCCCTAAACAATGTACGGCTCTAATCACATATTAAATATTTGCTTCTCTGCCCTGAACAGAATACAAGCTATAACACCTGTTAGTGCTGTACTGCAACTCTCATTTTCTTCTGTGCCTTCCACTGCAATCAGGACTGGCAAAGGAGACCAGAAACAAGAGTACTGAGTGCACACAACACTTTCATACATGAGGCCTGAACACAGTATTGATATATCAAGAAAAGCAGCCTACTAAGTGTCCCTGGTATTTTTGGAGGGCTGTTTAGGCAAGTAACAGAATAGTTCTACTTTAAATACTTCCAGTAGTTGGACATAATAATGATTTATTAGCCATTAGTCACAACATGAAAGGTGTAGTGACTCTTTGTTAAAAGAGTTCAAGAATATATGGCTTTAATTATTCATCTGACAGTGTTTGGAGAAGACTGTTTGCTTCCTATGGAGCAGATGCATTGATGTTTTCTTTAACTGGATATCGCTGTTTGCTCTGACTTTTTTAGAGGCATGTACCCAGTAATGCAAATCCTTCTGCAGTGCAATTAGAGATGTGCTGTAATGGTCGGGGCTGGCCCACTGATGAGACATTTGCCTAATGGTGATTGATCAGCAGGGGAAGAACATAGCTGTTTTTGTTTTTAAAGAAGATCACAATAGTGCATTCATGTTGTGTGATAAATGTTTAAAAAAGGCAAAAACACAAAAATCCAGAAAAAGAAGTTAAAGCTGAAGTTTAACCTGCTTATATTTTGCCTCCCCTGCCCATCGTCGCCTCCCCCTCCCCCCCACCCCCCAACCTTAACATCAATGAGCTAATGGTGATTTCAAATAAAACTTTTGTGTTTTCTTTACATACTTTATTTTAGACTCCACTGAGTCTTTGTGCTTCTCAACGCAAAGCAGGCAGATCATGGCTTGTGGGAAGGGCCGGCAAGGTGCTCTAGTGCTGATGCAAGCTGACTCTTTGGAGGACATATGCAAATATCAAAATACCTTGATTGGTGGATATCAGTCTGGGGGAGTGATCATTCCTAAGCAGGCGGCATTTGAATGCAAACAGCCATTGGTAACACCCAAATGTGATGCTGATGAAAATGGGAACAATGATAAGGTCCTATTTACACTTAAAAGCTACATTGTGGTGCAATAATGCACATGTGCTAACTAATGTTATGGCAATGCACCACAACGCATGAAAAAAAGTATATGAACATTTTTTAAAATGCAGTGAACCACAACACATAGAGGGGAATTTATCGAACTGGAGCACACAAATTCTGGAGCAGCTGTGCATGGCAACCAATCAGCTTCTCTCTTTCATTTTAAACCTCAACTGAACAAACTGAAGAAATCAGCTGATTGGTTGCCATGGGCAACTACTCCAGCGTCTGTCTGCGCCAGTTTTGATAAATTCTCCCCATAGTATATTTGTTGGGGTGTGAAAGACAGAACCCCCATCAGCTTTTTATTGCTGAATGTATCCCTGTTGCAAATGTTTCTCACTTCCTATTACAACCCTTGACACTGCAATACTAAAGATGGCCATACACTGGTAGATTTTCGTACAAACAAAAACAGTGTCCTAACATTTGATAATGCCATCAGAGCCTTGCAGAAAGTCATTCAAAATGTCGTCTGATTTTAACGCTCGATTTTGAAATGAAGTTTCCTGAATGAAAACCAAATTCAATGTTCGAATTTCATTCATTTGAGGAAACATTTCCACCCTGCTCCTTCCATTTTTCCTGTCGCTATGTTTAAAGACGATCATTGATTTGACTCCATTAACTATTAGAAAATCGAATGAAGATTCCGAAACAATTTTTTTCTAATGAAATTCTACTGGTGTATGGCCAACTTAAAGTGCAACTGAAGTCAAAACCTTTTTTGTTAGTTCTGGCTAGCGTGCAAAGGGATGAGAACCCGTCAGGTTCCTATTATGGCCTGTGTCCCGATTAGAGAGATTCACCCTCTCTATTTGTCCTGGTGACTGTTATCATTGAGGGCCCAGTCACACCATATCCAGTGCGTTCCAGTGCGGATTGTACTGCACCGGAACGGAGGGCCTTCCTGTACCTCGCTTTCCAGTGCAGGCGATCACACTGCGAGCGGAGGCGTGTCTGCGTTGCCATTCACATGAATGGCACCAACACGCCCCGCTCCAGAACGCTGCCTGGCTTGATCTATGCGATTCAGTGTGTCACGGGCTCGACCCGCACCGGAATGCACTGAATATGGGTAAAAGAAAATCCCAGATTTTGGGTTGTCACCAGAACAGGAATAGATGGAAAACACTAGTTCTGGTGACCCTGCTGACCAACAGGGATTCCTCCCACCTTGGAGGCATTTCTCCTTACTTCTTGTTGTGGATATCAGAGAGGAAGTCCAGGGAAATCTCCCTCAAAAAAGCTGACAGGGGTTATAAAAGGTTATAACCCTCCCTTTCTCTATCCAAAACTAAAAAAAAAAGACATTTTGGATCCAGTTGTAGTTTAAGTAACGGCAAATCTCTTCAATGGAACCCCAAATAGCAGTTAAAAAAATTACACGGGTTCTAATCCTTTCCGACTCCATCCAAACGAAAAAAAGTTTACACAAAAAATATTTAGGGGAAAGCTTCTTCATTTTCCAATGAGACATCAAATTCAAGCAAATTAAAAGACATACCTCATGAAATTTAACATTAATTTGTACTGAGTAATATGCACAAAAAAACAAAAAAGCAGGGTTTAAAAGTATATTACTTTTTTTTTTTTTAAAGTGATGTGTAATAAAAGTAAAAATACACTAAAAGGCCACAGTAGGAACACACCTGCTATATTTTATCAGATCACGGAATATCATTATTAATCCATGTTATTTAGGCGAGGCGAGGTGGATTATGCCCCCTTCCTACTGTAAAAGCTTTGGATTCAGGACCCAGCTCTTCACACATGTAAAATCATTTAGGTTTTGTGCATAAGATCAGATAGCAACCAAGAAAAACCCCAGCAACAGATGTGGGCTTACATCAACCAATAAAAGGACTAACATGCTGGACCCTCATCTGAGTTTATGTGGCTGCTGTGTGGTCTTATTGTAACTGAGCTTTCAGGGGCTGAAAGTGATTCGTGCAACATCGAGGAAGGAATACTAACCCAAGATGGAGACCTTGCTCAAGAACTCTTCATACATCTTCCTCTTCCTCAATGTGGAGCCCTGTGACCAAGAAAAAGAAGAAACAGATGTATGCAACTTCTGCCTTTACACAAACAGCTTCAAACAGAATGTGAGTGGTTGACACATGCATTATGTACAATTCTGTCTCAGTGGAGCATATATTACTATATACACATAATTACATGTTAATTCAACTTTAAAGTTGCCTTTTAAAAATGTGTTAAGTTTATGTATAACCAATTAGTTTTAGCTAGAGTAGGGAAGAGTTAAAACTCCTAACTGTTTTTGTTTTTTGGTGCATGTGTCCCTTTGAGGAGATTTTCCTTACTGTCCCAGTGACATAACAGGAAGTGTGAGGAAATCTCTATAAAACAAGGGTAATTCCCCTATTAGACAGGTGTCCCCATTGGAATATATCCTCTCTATTCCTCATGTAAAATCCATAAACTGTAACATTTTGGATTTCCCATCACTTTCTGCCTTGGTGACAATGGTCACTAGGACAAAAAAAAAAAGAGAGAGTAAGGTAATTATCCCCAGACGGGCACACAAGCCTGCAGAGGTTTTAATTCTTCCCTACTTCACCACAATGAAAAAAAAAAAGTTTTATATCTAACTTTTTGGGAATCGGGGTTGCATATTTATTTAAATGTTGAACAGTTAGGTTAAAAATTGAACAGTTTTAAAAAAAAAAAACCTATATTTTTTTCTACTCTACTCTACTTTTTTTTAAAAACTTTTTTACTACTCCACACTATACTAGATTACAGTATGAGAGAATTTTTTAATGCAACCAATCGTTTAGTTGAAAAAATAATCGGGCAACTAATCGATTAAGAAAATAATCGTTAGCTGCAGCCCTACATTACACTAAATAATACTAGACTACACTCTACTACACTACAAAAACTAGCTAAAGTTCTAAACAGAGGTTTTAGTTCCATACATTTGTATGGGTAAGCCACACTGCCACGACATGGCACCTTTATATCAGTGAATTTTCATTTACTTTTAAATTGTATCACAATATGCAATACATCTTATAGTTCTCACTTATTTAATGGGTATCATCCATGTACTTTATGATTTGAATATGTTCAAATACCATAACCAGAGTTTGTCTTTGTCATTTGTCATTCCCCTGTCTAATTGTCTTGCTTCCCTTTTGTTCCAATCCTTAATATTGTTCTTATATTATTGGACATGAGTGTTCTTATGCTTTTTTCAATAATTGTTCAATAATCTTTGAGTATCTTTATATGATTTATGTTCTGTTTATTCATTTAAATTAATAAAACTTAAATAAATAAAAACAATTGAACAGTTTATGGGGTACGGATTACTGCAACAGAGGACACTTGCAAAAAGAACTCGAATAAGTTTGGCCTTTTTATACTGGTGCTCATCTATTCTACTATGTTAGTGATACACAGATAAATGGTATTGTGGTAGAGGCAGAAAGGTATAAAAAGAATCTCGTACAGACAAGCCTTTGTTGCTTCTAGTATAGAAAATAAAAGCCTATGATTGTAGGCTACTTCTCACTTCTTCCTCTTTTATACAATATCACAGAGGGCAATGTTTCCTATAGCAACTGTTCAGTAATTATCTTTTACTGGTTTGTCTATATTAAAGTCTGATTGGGTGTTCAAAAACCTGTTTTTGTTTTAAGGGTTGCATTGCTGGTTTTAAAATGCAGCAGTTCCATGTTTGCCTATGAAGAACATATAAACCAGAAGCATATTTAATACCATGGGCTTCTTAGCCTGGCCACCATGCACACATATGAGGCAAGTGACCTGACTACAAACAGGGCAGGAATGCTTTTACATTTTTAAGCTACATAAGCAGATTAAAACAACTGGATCTATGACTACCCCCACACTAAGCCTTTCAAAACTACTTCAGGGCAGAAAAGGCATCAATGTATCACTCAGCGATTCTGAAGAGATGAATGCACTGGACAGAAAGGTGATACTTCTTGAATGACAATAATGCTAGTAACTAATTAAAAAAATACTAATACAACACTTTGCAGGAAATGTTTTGCATCAGACAACATCAGACAAGCATTTCATTAATGACCACTACACTATTTAATTGGTTAACAATCTTGTTAAAGGCTGCCATATTGTTAGTGGCTAATCAAATGAATTGTGCAGTTGGCGCACATGCAGTTTGACTGGCCCAATTCCATTTATACCAGGCAGACATTTTTAAGGATAGTCTGCATGCAGAAATATTGCAGTAATCTTTTACACCCCATCACTTACACTGGTTAGGGGACGTAAGCACTTTAAGCCAATCAGGGCTTGCTCTGTTGCTTTGGTGGATACTGTCAGTCTAACAGAGGACTGGGGGGGACCTTGAATTCAGTGCTTCACTTTCATGTTCCACTCACTGATTGATTAAAATGTATTCTTCAAAAGGGGAACAGACCTGGGTTTACTTTCTGGCAAGGGTGCCCAGATCATTAGAATGACTGAGCAGAATCACACATATATTATGTCAATTGAGTATTTAGCTGTATTCCTGGAATTCAATGTTCTAGTGGAATTAGCCTTTCATACAAGGTCCACTTTTAAGTAAGGCCCTACTCCCCTAATACACTGCAGAAAAACATTAAAACACCTGTGGGGGAAAATTGGTTTTTCTACCTACCATAAAGTTAATTTCTGGGATTCCATTAAGGGACACAGGAATTCAGTATAATTGTGGGCCAGCCCAATATAGCCCCTCCTACTCCCAGTATTCCTTAGTATTCCCCAGTATTCCTTAGTTCTGGTGGATTGTGCCTTGACGGGAAAGGGTAGAACCGGGTTCATAAAATCATAAGCTTGAATTATGGTAAATCTAAGCCACTAAGAAATAAAGAAAGGAGAAGCTGGTTCCCTTTTACAACAACCATCAAGAATGACAAAGAGTCAGTCTTAGAAGAAGTGGCTGCTAGGTTAAGTCACATAGCATGAACTACATACAAGCAATAGATTGTTTTTCTGTACCAATTACCAGTCCCAGTTCATTAGAAGATCAAAGTCCTGGTTGAGGTGAAGGACCAAATCTATCTCAGGAAGGAAGTCCTGGGCCTCAACACCACCATGTCCTTGTGTAACAACACCACCATGTCCTTGTGTAAGATCAAATAGGGCTCTCTCCTTGTAAGTGATAGTGGAAAGTCTGGAGTGCAAAAAATATTTAATTCAAATCTCAGGAGGAATGGGGGAGTGCACAGGCAGGGCCACATCTGAGATATCCTGAACAAAGGTCTTGTTCAAAGAATAGGGAGCTGAGGTGTCGGGAACAAGAATGTGCAAAGTCTCTAAATTCTTGTCTCCTGCAATGAACAAGAAAGACATTAATATACTTTTCTTTTCTGCCGGCTTCCACACTGCAGAAAATGATATCACCATCCTTGTGACAAGATCCCAGGGCACTGCCGAGTACCCTCAAATTTGCTAGATTTGGACTATTTGACATTATCCGGGGTTGCACTGAAAGGATACTGACATCACGCTCACAGAGGCACAGTGGGGGGAGGCTGAGGAAGTATATTATCTACTTTTTTTTTCCACCACAGGTTTTTGTGCAGCGAATGAGGATGGGGCAGGGGGGGCCTTAATAAATAAGAGGATTTTGGTATTTAGGTGCAACTGGTCCACTTTAAGCTGTCCGCACCTGGCCAGGCAAGCCTAACTGTCACTTCCCCTATGTAAGTGGTACCTAAGCAACAGATTTCCTTCCTTCCAGAGTCATAGCTAAATCTGACAGATATGGAAGTTTACCTCAGTTGCTGAGCACCCTTATGGTGCTGGGGAAAACAGAAAGGGTTGTGCAGTGGGTTGCATGCTGTACATGGGCTTTGGTATCATGCAACCACATTTTCTTTCTGGCATTTCAATATCCCAGCATATATCTGTCTTCCTGAAAGGTTGCTTGCATCCAGCAGAACAAGTCTAAAGCTGCAGAATGATGGCCAGCCCCACTAATTTGTCTACAGCTTGCAGGTACAGCTAATGCTGGTTATAGAAGCAGCAGCAAACATTGAGCTCAGACTGCTCTGTTTTAAGGTACGGTAACTGGAGTCACATCACATAAAGTCCTTATTTACTGTATGCAAGGTAGCACACAGCTGCCTGATGCTGACTAAGCTGTTTTTATATTTCTACAGTTATTTTTTCACTTGGCATGCTCCCAAGAGATGGTGGGATGCTGGGTATAGTGCTAACACTAAATATGGCTTAGATCCGCACTTCTATGTACTGAGGCAAGTCATATGGCACAGTGTGAAGGCATCTATGAAACAGAGATTGTGATGTCGATTTTAATCGACTAAATCGATTAACTGTTGCAGCTCTAGATGTTAGATTATCTTCAAAGCTCTGCGGCATGATGGAGCAAGCTCGTCAGAAATCATGCCAAGCAAAAATACCATCCAAGCATCCAACATTCCATGCCAAGTATCAGCGAATCAGATCTATACCGAGAAGAGAGCACTGACTGTATGCTACAGTCTGGAATCATCTCCTTTCTGATCATTCAGGTTCACTAAAAGCAAACACCTTACATTATATGTATAGCTAAAACGTATTTTCTAGCTTTAGATTGTTTAGGGATGGGTTTAAAACCTGTCATTTTATTGTTTGCTGTCTGTGCCCCGCTGGGTAGATTTATCTTCACTTCCTGTCTTGGAGATACAACAGGAAGATGAAATCTCTACTCATGTTTTGGGAGCACATTTGATTCAAGATAATCTGTAAAATCTAACTCAAACATGAATATTTATGGCAAAACCACTGACAACATCACTAACAACTGACTGCTACAGGAGAAAAGATGAGATTTCTGCATCACTGAGCCTTCTTCACTGTCATTTATTCATCAGAGTTTGCTTTTGGTGAACAACAGCAGGGTTGGGACAAGGGGTGTGCAGGAGGGGCAGCTGCCCTGGGTGCAGTTTTTTAATGCGTCTTTTCTGTCAGGCAGAGTAGGACTTTGATAGCTGATGGAGGGACTATTCTGAACAAACCTCCTTCTCAGTACAGGCGCCCACTGGGGACTGAGGGTGAACTGCCCTTCCTACTGTCTCCCTTTGTCTGCTGACATATCACATGACCAGAGATGGGAAGAAGGAAAATATGCCTTCATTTCCAGGCGAGCATTTTTACCTTTCTAGTGACACCACCAACTCAGGAAAATGTTTCCCTTCCAATGGCAAGGGATTGTTTTACTTCCAGTGACACCACCAACAATTAACTCCATCCCAGGATGGAAGGGGGGGAGGGTGCAGTTTGGCATCTCCCTGGACACTTGATGACTTTCTCCTAGCACTGATCAAAAGAATAGGTAGCTGGAATTGATTGCAAATCTTGACTTTTCCTTTGAAACTAAAGCTTTGCCCCTGAACCTCCTACTTCCCAGGTGTCTTTATTGGTCATAAAGACAAGACCTATCATCCACCTGACCAGAAAGGGCTGTGTATGTGGCAGATCAGTGTAAATCTCGGCAGGCAAAAATAGGATTTTTGTACTCGGCAAAAAATCCTTTTCTTTGTGTTCGCTGAAGGACACAACTGGATCTTAAGATCTTGACCAATGGCCAACAGTCAAGATGTTAAGATCCAGCGGTGTCCTTCAATGAAAGAAAGAGAAACCGTCCCATATGTGTATTTTATGTTTGTTTAGCAGTTTGCCCAGAGTTCAGCTTTAAAATAAAAGATATTAGCAGCAATCAAGGTGCAGGTTATGTACACATCTACTATATAATGATATAAAAAACAGAAATAATATCCACATTTAGCTCTGCAAATGTTAAGTGCCTAATGAATTAATCATAAAGTCACCTGCATGGTAGGGTGGAGTGTGAAAATATTTGATACATTTTGTTTTGTTGGACTTCTGGCCACCTATACAACCACACTTTGCATTTCAAGGCAAGTTAAACAAGAAGAAGTATTTTTTCACAACAGTGAATTAAGGGATTTTGTAAAAAAACTAATGAGAACCAGGAAAACCTCTCGCATTTAGTGTGTATAGTGCTGTAACTGATGACAAAATGAGGTCTTCACTCGGTGTCAGCAGTAAGGGAGGCAAGGTTTCTGATTACCGGTGAGTTAACATAGCAGTTTGATGAATAGGCCCCTCTGTCCTGGTTCAAGAAGAGGCTAATAGCAGCCTTAGACGGGTCCGATAAGTGAACGGCCCACTTGTTTGCTGTGGATTTAATGCAGTAATCTTGTGACATATTTTTCACTGCTATTTGCAGATTGAGAGCATACTAGCAGGATTCAGGGCTCCACAGTGACTACAGCACCTCAGATTCCTCTCCTGTCTGCTGATAATCCCGCTCTAGTCTGTTATGCCAGCCACAGCATTTCAGACCTACCAGGCTATTTATAACACATTTAGCATGAAATGTTCATGTGCCGTTACAACATTGTGATTATGCTAAGTGGAAATGATCTTTATGGCTTTACTTTGCAGCACGCAGCATGTGCCTCGACACTTGAAGTGAAAATTTAGATTAACAATGAAAAGTACATACTTTAGAAAGACTTTCACAAGCTCTGTCCACCCACAGTGAAAAGAGTTTGGGTTGATTTTGGCAGGTTAACTCACACATTACTTTCTTTTACCCCTTGGGGTCTGAGGGAGAGAGATTTCCGCAACTCTGAACCTCGATCTGTTCATCAGTCAAGCCCACTGCAAAGGGACTTCACTTTCACTACTAGACTGTCTATTTAACTGAACAAAATAGAATATAAAATTAGGTTTGTTAAAACAGCACCTCCTCCAATCACCCAATCACAGAATGCCTAGTATTCACTGAGAAAATGCTAGTCATCCTCTCACTGGCTGCTATACTCAACAGAGAGTCTGTGTTTACCAGCACAGGGAAATCCCTCAGCATAGGAGCTGTAACAGGGACCTGGAAGACTCTGTGCTACTTCTGTATATTACAGGATCCCCGTAGTCCTGCCACAATTGTATATGTGTGTATGCATGTATGTATGTATGTACGTATGAATGAATGAATATATATATACACACACTGTATATTAGGGTTGCACCAAACTTTTCAGCCGAAGATGGGCTGCCTCTCTAGTTTCTCTCCTACCCAATGCGGAGGAGAAAAACGTTCAGGAGGCAGCGCTGGGAGGAGAGCAATATCTGCAGTGTCACAGGAGACCAAGCTCTCCTCTAGCACCACCCCGCTTGGCCTCCTGCGACAAGCAAATCAAGATGGAGAGCGGTGTGGGGAGGAGACAGATGTCAGCAGTCACAGGAGGCTGAGCGGACGCATAATATCTATTTTGGTTATTTTTACCCTTTAATATCTGGGATTTATATTTTTCCATTTGCTTTTAGGACTGTGTTTCTTCTATCCTATGCACAGGTTGTGGTGTTATATGGGAAGTTCCTATTCCTTTTATAATTTGCATAAGCAGATTTACTATGTAATATCTGGAACTGATGTCTCTTTACTTGTCTACAAAATTATTTTACTTTTGTATGAGCATATTGTGATGTGATATATAAGATTTTATTCATGTGTCTTTTGCAGATTAAATGGTTAATAGTTGTCCCACCCCCTTTAAATAGGGTATTTAAGGTATGTCATTTTGATGTTTCCTTGCTACGACTAAGGCCCAGTGTGGGGGCTGAAACGTGTAAGCATTTGTTTGTTTGCTGCTGCTATGCCTTTTTACAAATAAAGTACTGGATGGACGGACCCCCTTGCTACTTTAATGTCACTTTAAGAAAACAGCCATAAGCTAATTAGATATGTCTGCCCCCTGAAGCATGCTATAGAGGGGCAACCTTGTACTTTGTTTGGAAGTAGTGGCCTCTCTGTAGAGGTCTGACACACACGCTGCTGAGTCAGGGCTACAGCTCTCCAATCATCAAAGAGCATGAACTTTGTTGACTGCAACACTATAGCTTCAAATCAGCAGGGGATGTGTCAGATCTCTACAGAAAGACCACTGCTTCTGTACAAAGAACAAGGATCCTACTCTACAGCATGCTGATAAGGAACAGGGTAAGACTTTGCACACCTTTTGTTTTCAATGTACTTGGAATGTAGTTAGCTGATGTGAACTGAAAGTTAATTTTGGCTTTAATCCTTAGTTAGGTTTAGGACCAACTTGGACAGATATTTTTCAGCAAACTGGAAATAATTATTATCCCCTAGGAGGGAAGCGGGGGAGTCCCATAGTCTACCCAGTATTGTTTTTAATGAATAAGAGCTGATGGACTGAAGAACCAAATCACTTCACTTATCTTATCTTTAAGGGATGTATGTGATGAGAACGCCTGTTGGAATTAGTTCCCACCTATAGCTCCCCCAGCCATAGTTGCTCAATACTCTTGTACCAGCAAGAAGAGTCACCATTCTTCTTCTGCAATCTCCCTAATATAACATTAAAGCCCAACTCCAGCCTTATAAGTTTGGGATAGAGTGGAATATTTTAGAACCTGTGTCTATTTTGCTGTAGCATTTGTCAGATAGAACAAAACTTTCTTTTAGTGGAATGGTTGGAAGCTCAATCAGGTTTTAATTGCTCTGTGTCCAAGTTTCCTCTCCCTTCCTGTCCAGGTAACGGCTGTCTGACAGAGCAGAAAGTGATAGAAGATCCTCTTAAAGGAGACTCAGATAACCTTTACACTTCACAAAGGTTGTAACTGAAAACAGTTTTGGATGCAGTTAGGCTTTAAAGAACCAGCAGGGAAAGTGAGAGCCCATTGTGATAGCGACTGGCACTGCCACTATAAAACAAAAAGCCACTGGCATGTTGGCCATATTTTTCTGCAAGTATTTCCATAAATAGTCACGTTTCATTAGAGCCTATTGATGAATTAACAAGCACTGAAATAAACTCACCATAAGTATACGTCTATAGCTGTCCCGATCGATGCCCCATAGCTTAAGATCTGTTTTGGCCTTGACTGTGGCAGCTCTAGGCGTGCCGTAGATCAGTGCAAGCTCCCCAAAGCTGCCACCTTCTCCAATGCTGGTGACCCACTCTCCATTCACATAGACCTAGACAAAGGAAGTAAAAGAAAGGGTTAACGAGCAGGAAATTGTTTGCTTTAGCCCATGTCTTCAGTTATCTCAAAACCTATTAATAATCCCCTTTCTAATGGGTTGAGGAAAATAATAGAAGCACAAACAATAGGATAATAGTTTCCTCACTTGGTCACAAAAGCTTTGACAACCTACTTTGAGGATCAAGTTTCAGGGCTTGCTGCTCCAGAACAATAGCTGCATTTATTCCTGGGAATTTTCAGCTCCTGTAGGTTACTGGGCCCAGGTTATTTTTTTCCTGGACTTGGACACTCATGGAATCGACAAGCAGAACTGTCACAACTGTGACCTTTTATTACACCTGTCAAACCTGAAAGCAGGGAGATGTGTTGAAAGCCATAATGAGGGTCACAGGGGAAATGCAGCCCTGTGAATTGGGGAGGAAAGGCCGAAGTGGCCTTTGATGAGACATGTTCTTTGTCCCTTCCAGTCCAGTTCTTCGCCCAAACTACTTAGCTTCCAAAGAGCTTGCCTTCCAGCCTTATTTTTTTTAAAGTCACCAATCTCCTGGGAAAACCTCTTGAGAAACGGGCTGTCATTGTGTTTATTTGAAAATAGCACCTCTGTGTTTTTATTTACATCCAAATGTTTGCTACAAGACCTAAGTATTGAACATGGATATGTTTGTCCTGGAATGGAGACCAGATCAGCCTGACAATAGACAGATATTGCAGTTCCACCTATGCACAGATATCTAAAATACAAAGGTCCTGTTCAGGACCATACAAAGAAACTTGTTGGTTTTTCTTCAATTTTATTTTATTGGTTAAAGGAGAACTATGAGGTGAGTGAAAATCACTCAGACTCATAGTTCTAGCCGATCTGTGACAATGAAACTGCCACAGGTCGGCTCAATAGATCGGGAGGTGAGCGAACACATACCGTCGCTCGCTCACTTCTCGATCCTGTCCCTGCAGAGAGCCGTGACTGTCATTCACGGCTCCCTGCAGGGATTCCCCCCTCCCCTGTCCGATCCTCCAGCGCTGACTGACGGAACGGACGGGGCGGGTACAGCTGGCTCTGCCTCCGGACAGTAATGTAATGCTTTGGGTGACGGGGGGATGCTAGTTTGTGTCCTCCCGTTACCCTTAGGAGAACTATGGGGAAAAGCCCTGACCCCATAGTTCTCCTTTAACTGCTGTACCTGTTATACTGGACCGGAACATAGTGGCCCTCTTTTACAGATGTGTCTAAAATCAGATAACGGACAATTTTTTTTTTTCCCCTTGTTTTTTTAAACCTGCAATGTTTTTCTTGTAGACACTGTCAAGCTTTTTCAAGAAGACAAAAAACATATGTGCAGTTCCCCTAAGTAACCAATCAGAATTCATCTTTGAAAACAAGTAATGCAACATCTCTCCTACAATTGACCACAACAGCCAATATTCGCTAAACAAAATGGGATAGACTGTGTACTTCATGTGCCACCTGATGGAGCAATTAGTGTGTTGCCTTCTGCACGGTGGGATATTCTGAAGGCCATGAGAAAAAATTAGCAAATAGCTAACAAATGGGAGGTCTATCCTGCAAATAGAGGGACACTTAGACACTATGCCATTACAGGAACCAAATTAACATGAGCTATTATATTTTTCATATATACATGGGGG